CATAAAGTAGGACTTGTAATCTATACTGTAGTAATGACTCAGAATGGGATTGAAATTCCAACGGATTTGACAACGCTGTATTGTACTCGTACAGATTGAATTGTAGTTGTCTTTAAAAAAATACTGTTCGATGTGTACAGTACCAAGTTGACAAGGAACGGTAAAGACTGCCTTGAATTTTTTTTGAAATTGTAGTTGGAGGATGGCAATTTGAGCAATACACTGGGCGCTAATATGTTAATCCTCGATGGGAGCAGTTAATGGGCGCTTCCTCTATGATCTTTAGCTCGCTGTGCTCTCGAGGTGCTCGTATCGTATAACCCTCCTCCAACCTTGTTTGAGACTGAAGACGGTATCTAGGACTAGAGATTATGCGCTGTACAACATACAGTATTGGAATTGTATGTTTCTACCTATCAATAGAGTCATTTTGTTATCAGACACGTTCTCGCCTAGCCTTCCTCGACCCCGAAGTCATCCACAAGACAGCATCATAAAAGATGATGGTCCTTATACCCACAGCATGTTCAACAAAGTCTTATCTTTCCGTTCCACCTACCGACGAAAGCCGCCAACCGAGCCAGAAACGACGGCGAATTCGTCGTCTAACACTAACAAGTGACACACTCCGCACGGTGCTGCTTTGGTCGGCTCGGATCTCAAACTCCTACTCTCACAGCGTGATCACCTACTTTCGTTTATATAGCCATCGCTCTCGTGAGGACTTCTCATTATACGCGTTCTGAGTGACGACGACGCGGAAACCATGACTGCCAGTGCGACTTTCCTTCGACGCGCTCCTATCTCTGTACGGACTAGCCGCGCTCGCTCGTACTCGACGCCAGGAGGAGGGAAGCTGACTATTGGGATACGGAGAGAAGATCCAACTCGAATCTGGGAAAGAAGGTGTCCTCTTACTCCAGACGCGGTTCATGATTTAGTCCATAAACAGAACGTTGATGTTCTCATCCAGAATTGTGAGAGAAGGGTTTGGCCTGTTGAGGAGTTTATCAAGGTCAGTACATTATCTCAGCTTTAATTCGTTCGCGTATTAACATGTCTATATTGCCGAATGATTCATCTTGTCGTATCGTATCGACGTGTTTAGGCAGGGGCTCAAGTTCACCCAACGCTTTCTCCCGCGAACATAACGCTAGGAATTAAAGAAACACCTCTCAATGAAGTCTTAACTGACGCAGTCTCTGGCATTCCCAGGACACATTTCATGTTCTCTCATACTACCAAGGGTCAAGCATATAATATGGAATTATTGAATAAGTTTTTGAGTAATGGTGCTTTGAGTCCGACTTTAGTGGATTATGAGCTATTGATTGGACCAGACGGAAAGAGAACAGTTGGTTTTGGATGGTTCGCTGGTGGTGAGTACACGCGTAAATATTTCGTCAAATTGATGGATTGAATAATCGTTGGTGAACCTTTAGTTGCGGGAGCTCTAGAATCTCTTTCAGCACTCGCGCATGCATTATTGGAGTTGGGAGTCTCCTCTCCATTTTTGGTACGCCCTCTTGGTTATCTTTCGTAAATTTAAAACGGTGTTGAGGCTCATATATCGATCTTTGGACAGTATGCTCCCCGGCCGCATACTCATCCGTCACTCCCTTCCATTCTTCATACACTTCGAACGGTAGTAGGAGCGCAGATTTCGTCGCAAGGTACTCCGAAGAGTTTGGGTCCGATCGTGATTGGTGTTACCGGGTTCGTCCCCCTATGAGAACTAATGATCCTGATTTTTACTTCACAACTTCATAGGACGGGGAAGGTTGCGACCGGTGCTTTAGATCTGTTGAAAGAACTGCCTATTTGCATGGTGAATGCAGACCAGTTAGACGCATTGGTTTCTGATCCAGGTAGAGTCCCAAAGAACTTTTTCGTGTATGGAAGTTTACATGCGTTTGAAATGAAGCTACGGATCTACACAAGGTGAATTTTCAGATCGTGTTATATTCCTTGAACAAGATGCTAAGGATATGTCGGTATAGATTTATGTTGTACACGTTCTTCCAGAAGACTACTTTGTTCGGAAGGACGGTAGTGCTTACAGCAGATCGGATTACTACTCGCATCCCCAAGAATATATCTCCACATTCCATTCAAGAGTACGTTTCTCCAAAGATCTATACTTATGTTCACTTAACCTTAACTCACGACTTTCACTTTAGATTGCACCTTATTTAACTCTCCTTCTTCATGGTGCAGGATGGGCCCCAACGTATCCTCGATTGATGACGAACGAACAATTGGCACTCGCGATGGAGAAGGCTATCCAAGTCGGCAATGGAAAGCTGGGAAGGTTTGTTTGCGTAGGGGATATCAGTTGTGATGTCGAGGTAAGTGTTCATTCTTTCTCCATCGTAAATTTCTAAATTTCGTTCAAACTTCAGGGTGGACTGGAATTTCTCTCTCGGCACTCAACACTATCGTCTCCATTCTATACAACTAAACCTCCCTCACATCCTGCTCATCTCCCAGAAATCACGATGATGTCCGTTGATATTCTTCCCACCGCTTTACCTCTTGAAGCATCCGAACATTTCTCAAATGTTCTATATCCCTACCTGACGACGTACCTTAACGCTCTTCGTGGAACTCAGGGTGAAGGTGAAGCAGAGAGATGGGAGGCTCTTGAGCGAGCTACCGTCGCCACAGAAGGCGAGTTAAAGGAGAAGTGGAAGTGGCTAGAGGAAGGTCCGCTGGGGGTTTGGAGGGACGGAATGCTGAAGACTGGGACGTTCAATGTTCTCAATGACGGCGCATCGAAAGCGAAACCTTCCACGCCATCGATATCAGCAAAGAAGGAATCTGCGACAATACCTAAGAAGAAGAAAGTTTTGGTTCTCGGTAGTGGAATGGTCGCTGGACCTGCCATTGATGAGATTTGTAGTTGGAAGGATGTCGAATTGGTTGTTGGTATGTGTGGTCTCTCGAGTTTCATTATAGATTATTAGTTAGGACACTGACTGGTTTCAACAGCAAGCAACATACTCCCGGAAGCCTCTCGTCTCACTCGAAAACATCCCAACGCGTCCGCCAAATTAATCGACGTCAGCGATAGAGCGAGTTTAGGAGATCTAATTGGAGAGGCAGATGTGGTTATCAGTTTATTGCCCGTCGCATTCCACCCGAAGATTGGTGAGCTATGCCTGGAGAAGAAGAAACATCTTGTAACCGCTTCGTATATCTCTGACGCTATGAGAGGGTTGCACGAAAAGTACGTTCACTCTGTCCTCTTGTGATGATTCACTGAAACGACCCTTCTACAGGGCAGAATCATCCGATTTAATCTTCCTCAACGAAATCGGCTTGGACCCCGGAATTGATCATTGTTCTGCTATCAAGATGCTCTCAGAATTGAAGGCCCAGAATAAACAAGTTGTTTCTTTCACCTCATTCTGTGGTGGTTTGCCAGCTCCTGATTGTGCTGAAGGCATACCTCTTGGGTATAAGTTCAGTTGGAGTCCTCGAGGTGTTTTGCTCGCGAGTTTGAACAGTGCTAGATTTAAGTTGATGAATTCTGTAGGTTGATTCTGTCTTTTTGACCGTAGGAAAGGAAGGCTGACTGTTTCCTAGATTGAGGAAATTGAAGGAAAGAATATCCTAGTCGAGAATTTCCCTGATTTACCTGTCTCGGATGTCTTGAGGTTGGAAGGCATTGCGAACAGAGACAGTCTGCCATATGCAGATGCATATAGCCTCGGCGCGTTGGAAGACATCCGGACTTTAGTCCGTGGCACTATTCGGTATGTTTTCGAGATAATCATCTGCGCTACTGGATGATTCTCATCATGGATGCCGTTTAGATATTCGGGCTTCTCGGCATTAATGCATCAGTTCAAATGCATCGGTCTCGTGGAGACTTCTCCCGATTCTCAAATCCTTCCAACATCCTGGTCGGACTTTGTTCGTCTTGCGATGGAGAAGAAACTCAATCATCCTATTCCCTTTAATGACCCTCATTCCTTCCAAAGCGCACTCAACCATTTGATTCCAAACGCCAAGGAAACCTCTGAAGAATTCATATCGAATTTGGATTGGTTCGGAATCTCTCCATTCTCTTCACCTTCTTCAAGTAGAGGTATCGCTTTGCCTATTCAACCGACCGCACCCATCGATATTCTCACAACACTTTTGACTCATAAACTCTCATTCGATGCCTCGAAGAACGAAAGGGATTTAGTGATACTCTCTCATGAAATCGTTTCATGTCCTTCAACTTCACCACATGTAACGACACATGCACCATCTCCGACTCAAGATGAAGAGATACATACTTCTTCGCTGGTGGTATATGGAGACAATGAATCAAGTGCGATGGCTAAATGTGTAGGTTTACCTGTCGCTTTCGCTACTCGGTGTGTTTTGGACGGCGTTATCAAGGTCAGAGGTGTTCACGGTCCTGGTGTTGAGAGAGGAATTTGGGAAAGAGTTTTGTCTAGTTTGGAAGAGAAGGGTTTAGGAATGAATGAGAGTGTTGCGAGAAAGAAGGGGCTTAGTGGAGGTGGAATTGTCGAGAGTGCTTTGCATAGAGCTCATGCGTTGAGGAGAGGTGCTTTGTCGTTCTGATTGTTCTTTGCTAATCCGTAGGAATGGTTCGGACCTTTTATCGCCTTTGTACATCACTGTATCAATAGCGTCGGGTTGTCTGCGGTTTTGCGGGTTTGGATATTGGAGGGTTTTGCTTCCTGGTAAATGAAATGTTGTGTACATTGATCAAAGAGCAGGGCTGCCTGTCTTTTTTACGATACTCGTCGGGTGGAAAGTCTACTGATCAGACATCCAGCTGCTAGATGATTCAACGGACAATCTTTCACAAATGAATGAGAGGGAAATAGGTACTGAATGTTATATACTAACCAAAACATTCAAAAGCGGACTCTCCATTTCAATATCAGGAATACTTGCGTCTCTTCTTGAAACTCTAAGTTTGTTTCACTCTTCGAATGTATGACACACCTCCACAGAAACAAAAACGTCAAGGGATCAGGTGCTACCAGGGTTCGAACCTGGGTTTCGGGAAGCTGCTAAAGTGCGGTGGTTAAACTTAGACATATCTATCCACGCTTCAAAATCCCGAGTGATAACCACTACACTATAGCACCGTTATGTGTGTAAATTCTCTATTATATCAGTCATGATTTCTAGGAAATGATTGAATGACCGAAAAACAATTGATCGAAGTTTTGACTCCGCGTTCAGTAGCAACGTGTTTATCATTGCCCAATTAGGACGAATGTCGCCTAATATGGACACAGACGCCCACTAGTGCTGACAAATCGTAACGAGTATTAATTATCTTCCAACAAGTAATCAAACCTTCATACAGCACATTCCACGTACGAGGAAGGGGAACGAAGGTTTATAAGCATAGACGCCGTATGTGATGTATGTACTTGGTGTAGAAATACACGACAACCTCGGACAAGCGAAACAGCTAGAAGGGCAATCACGTGACCGAGTCCGATTCGTGGCATCGGACTCCTGCTTCAACTTGAACAACCACTTTCTTCGAAACTGTTACTTACTCAGGAGATGTACTGATCGTTTTGAGATAGCGAGAATCTTCTCGTCTAGCTATTGTACACTTCCTTTTTCTATTTCTACGAATCTTCCAGGGCGGACAACTTGTCTGAGACATTGGGTGCGTTCTTAAATGACAGTACGACTACTCACAGTCCGTATGCCAGGCTGAACATGCTTTTTAAGGATTTTAATCGCATTTTTCTCTGATATAAAGAGTTTAAAATACGTGAATATCACTCTCAACGTTTCAAACACAGGTGCCGTTGATTCGGAGTGAGTTTCAATTCAGAGAATGAGATTATGCAATCATTGACAAGGCCTATTCAGCAGAGCGTCGCAATAGAATGGCTAGTGCTGATATGAACAACTGGGTTGAAATACCTCTTGGCACCTTTATGTCAGAGTTGTTTCCCGCACACCTTCGACAAACTGAACCTACAGCTGAAGAAAGGAAAACGTTCAAGGATTTCTCGGAGATTAAGAAGGTCAAGGATGAGGATCATATGTGTCCTATTCTGGTACGTTATATCCCTCTTCTCAATGAGCACATCCGTCGTGTGATACTCATCGAATGTTAGTGCGAGGGTATCCAGTCGGCCTTTTTCTCGAATAGCCTGTCTGTCAAGGATACTGGTGAATGGACGGAAAGTACAGACGATGATACGGAGGATACTGAGTTGCGTGTACCTCCAAATTCTCTCGCAATCTTCAGGCCAGAGGAGAAGGATTGAGCAAAGGAACAGTTGGAAGCATTGCAGAAAACAGAATTCAAGCGCAGTAATCCTTTACAAAGTCCTCCCACGTCTACGCCTTCGTCCACACCTCCTTTCGCATCTTCAACAAACCCATCTCAACCTGCCGAATCCGACCTCTCTTCTCTTACTCCTGAGACGTGGTACGATCTGGAACCCACGCGGAAAGACACATTGAGGAAGAGCCACAAGGAAGACTCAAATTATCTGACTCGACTACGATACGCCGCACGTACTTCATTCGCTGGCTCAGTCGCTTACATTGACATCAAGTATGATACTTCGGACTTTCCATTCGGCATAAAACCAAGGGGGGCTTTAATTTCAGAGAACAACGATGGTGGCCCAGAAGATACTCGTGAACTGCTCACAGAGTATGCTTCAAAGGTGTTTCGCCGCCAGCATCGAACTTTTGTTTTCAGTGTTTCTATATCTCGTCTGCATGCGCGTTTCATCCGATGGGACAGGCAATACACAATAGTTTCTAGACCCTTCAATTACGTCGCAGAGCCCGAGAAACTCCACCGTTTCTTTTATAAACTTGACAAGATGACAGACACGGAACTTGGTCACGACTCTTCAGTGTCCGTTGCTTCTCTGGCTGAAGCGCAACCTATGAGAGACTACTATCCCGAGAATGAATACCATCAGCAACTCCTTTCGGAAGCAACTAAGCGTTCACATATCATATACAAGGTTCCAGTGCGGGATGGAAATGACTCTTCCACACGGGAGTTCTTGGTCGGAGGGATGATGTATGCATCTCCTTCAGTGATCGGCCGGGGAGCAAAAGTGTCTGTGGGTTACGATATGAAGGATGGAGTTCTTGTTCTGTTGAAAGACTCGTGGCGTATTGTCGCGGCGCACGTCCATCCAGAACATGAAGTTTATGCCCGACTCAAGGAGCACAAAGTCCCTCATGTTGGCAATGTTGTGTGTGGTGGAGACGTTGGTGATAATGATCCTTCCACGGTTTATCTACGTTACATCACTCGCAAGCATCACAGGCGACAACACTATCGACTTGTCCTCAAGGAGATTGGTCGTCCACTGAGTGAGTATCAATCTGAATATCACCCGCCCTGTTATCTCTCTGCGGCTCTGTTGGGTAAGTTCTACCGCTTTGAAGTATTTGTTCAGAGAACTCAATAAAGTGTTCATCACAGCTCACCGGCATTCATAGGAGGATGCTAAAATCCTTCACCGCGACATCAGCCCTAATAATACTGTAATTGTCGAGAGACCGTCGGGTGGGTGCGTCGCAATTCTCATTGATTGGGACTTGTGTAAATACAAGGAAGACATGATGAAGCCACCGACGCAGTATAACCGATCAGTTAGTACTAGTTTCGTTTTCAATTGAGCATTATCCTTTCTTACCTCGTCTTTAGGGAACATATGTGTTCATGTCCGCTTTACTGTTGAACTTCTCCGCAAAACGTAATGAAGTTTCTGACGACCTAGAGTCATTCGTCCACCTTGTTAATTGGTTTGCCCTCGACCACCATCAGCACAACTATGTCAACAGCCGAGAAGATTTCGCAATCTTCATCGAACACATGTATAAAGCTGGGTCACGGTCTCAAAGTCAGAACGGCTTGATAATGGGGAACCCAGCAAAACTGATGTCTATGCAATCCGGTATAGCTGAATTCAGGTTGTCTCGAAGTCCAGGATTACAGGAACTCCTCAAAGCACATATGAAACTCGCCAAAGACCATTATGCCACAGTTGACTTTGCTGCATTGGAAGCTCGGCGGAACTCAGGAAATACAGCTCAGGGTACCCACCCCCCGTTTTCACCCCCCGGATGTCACCGACGTCAATTGGGACTTGATTGATGAAGATGAACAAATAGCACTCAAAAGAAACTCTTGTCAGATGATAGCTACGAATCCTGTTGGGATGCTAGTCTCTAACATCTCCCAATGTCTCGACGCAGGTCCCACGGCTGCAAGCAGCAGCAGTTCTGTACCTCCATCGTTGGTCCAACAACCTCCTTCGACTCCGTTTGGTCTTCTGTACGATCATCGTGCAATCACTGCAATTCTGCGACAAAAGATGGGTGAGGCTAGAGCCGAAATCAAAGCGTTCAAAACATCCAGTACCGTGCAATTATCACCAGCAACCAGTCCACCACGACCACCACAGGACCTAAAATGGTTGAACACGAAGATGCCTAATAGTCAAATCGACCAGTTACCTCAATTACATTTCACAGTTGACATTCCAGCTTCTTCAGCTACAGGTCCAATTCCGAATGTTCCTCAAGATTTGGATGATGGATTCATCTCTGAAAGGAACCCCGAATGATCTAAGAAATCTGTGAAACAGGGTCGTACTACCTTTCGAACGCAAGAGCGAGCAGGCTGCCTTCATTGGTGGAGGACAATATGAGGTGTGATTGAACCATATCAAAGTTAGGACTCGGAGTCTAGTATATTATGTTCAACAGTTCAAGTTTGGGTACGAGACCAGACAATCAATATATTATATTTCGTTGTTTCTTCTCCCAACGCAAATGTCGTCGCCCTGCTGTCGCCTTATCGTGGATGCTAGCACCGTTAACGTATACTACATAATAGTACTCCTCGGTGGTACCTCTGCAGGTATAATTCACTCTGGCACCTCCACCGACTGTTTGTACCATATACATACAAGGCTTCATTTTTTTTGAGAAGGTCTTTCAACTAAATCATGATCTGAGGATAGATAGATTTCAGAAAGGATGAGATGCTATTCCCTTGACATCGGTACTGAGGTCGTCGACTCGGAAACAACAAGTTGCTCTGGTATTATGTATAACTGTTGCAGCACACAGCAAAGCAAGTTTGGTGTACCTGATATACATTTTATTATAAGCTTCGACATATAAAAACAAAAAGTTGACAACTCCTAACAAGTGTCAATCCTAAGCTTTCCACCTCCAACAAAAAACACATAATCATGTACAAGAAAAATATGAAAAAAGGTCCTCTAGATATAAAAACCATATCTGAAGCATGTGTATGTATGTATGAATGTATGTATACAAGAAAAGCCAAGCAACGAGCAAAGAGAAGCAAGGACACTAAGGAAGCTAGAAGTACATATTTAAATTTGCGATTGAGGGTAGCAGATGTGAATGAGTATGAATAATGGGTTGGTTATAAAAAGAAAGAAATGATCTTGGGTTAGGAAGAAGAGATGGCATAAATACTTGGAAAGTAAGATAGGGCGATGTATGAATGATTGGATAACACAACAGCACAACAGAACAATGATGAGCGAAGTCGAGAAGGTGAAACGCTGTGACAAGAACGGGAAAAAGGAGGATATATGTCTATACCGATGTCGTTGCAGTCGGCGAAGAGGTCTTATTCGGCGACACAACAGCGATCAAAACCGAGATATCTAAAGAAGGAGCGCAAGATAGAGTCAGTCATTCATGCAAATGATTGAATCCAGTATAATAAAACTCACCATCCGGTTTACCTCCTTGGAACAGCTTTCCCATTTCCCTAGCTCTCCTAGCGAAAGGAATTTCGTCCATATCGACTTCCTCCTCCAAAACAACAGTCGAATTCCTAGAACTCGAACTCGAAGTGGAACTGAAAGATCCTCTTCCCGTCGTCGAGGAGGATTTAGATCTCACTTTATGTACACCTCCACTGCTCGTCTTGCTCCGACTACTTTTACTACTTCCTCGTTTCTCGGAAACACATCTTGCGCGAGAACAAAGAGCTTCCGATAACATCCCCGCCAATGACTTTCGACCAAGGATGGAATCGTCTGATGAAGACGAGCTTGACGAGGATGAATGTGATCCCATGAATCCCTTTCTCATC